TCCCCTGTCTGGGGGTCGAAGACTCGTCTGGGCGGCGCCCTGTCTCTATCTCTGTTTCTCCAATAGGAATCCCTCAAACTCTCTCTCCAGTCGTCTTTGTGCCGGTCCGCTATGGTGTCCCTCCGTTCGTACTCGGGGGAGCGTCACCTCGTTGCTTCTCGTCGTCCGCTCGAAGTACCCGTCTTTAGAGTCTCCTGCGGCTCTGTCGCAACTGGTTCGCCTCTCACGTCGGGCCCTCCGTCATTGGTTTGGTCAGCCCATCTCAGCGGTGTTTCTTGCCTAATTCGTTCCTTCAGATCCCTCAGAGCTCGATCGGGCGATGTCCTGTATTCCTCTCCCGCTTCGCCCGTTGTCGGTTGTGGTCCCATCGTGTCGGGTTCCATTGGACCGCCAGAAGACGCAGTTAGATATCCTTGCCAACTGTTACAGCCCGACCCTATGACAGTCGTTGCAGCCCGGACCTGTGACAGTTGCGGCAGTCCGGACCTGTTTCCTTGTCACGGCTCACGTCCGCCTCCAATCTTAGCTCTCGACTGCCTTGATTACCACTTCCTGTATCCCGTACCGATTGCAGATCTCGTGTTCTCCCTCTATCCCAAGAATCCCTGTGTCTAAGTAAACCTCTCCTTCGGAATTGGCCAACAAGGTCGTTCCTCTCCGGATCTGCAGTACACCCGTGACAGGACCTCTATCCTTGAGACAGATCGCAGTCCCAAACCTAGCCAATGTCTCCTGATCAACACCCCTCAAGAGTCTCCGAGCGTCTTCCTCCGTCCTCCTTGCTATATCTCCTAGCCCTGTCCTGAATCGGTTAGCCCGCTAAAGGCCCTCCTACTGCCATCCAAAGTCGCCCATCGACCTCTCTAGCTCCCACTATCCTTCCAAGAGTTTCCAATTTCCATTTCCACTACCTTATCTCCCAGACGGCTACGAGGTCATCTGTCTAACAGCTGAGGTAAGTTAGTGCTATAACCACTTGTAACCTCATCGCCGACCGCTCCAATATGTCATAAAATGTCTCAAAGTCCTCCTTATCTCCACCATCCTCTATCGCCTCTTAAGTCTTTATCGATTCCTTCCAGTACCGGTCATGAGCGGCTAACACCCTGAGTATTGCACCATCTATTACAACTCTCCCTAACTCTCGAGCTTTCCTGGCTTCGCTTATCTTCAACCTCTCAGCCTCTCTGATCGTCTCGTACCATGCCCTTATCCGCGACCCCCCTTCAAAGGGTGTTACTCGGAGTACGTATTTTATCCTCCGTCCTCCTTCTATTCCAATCCAAAGTCCTGTCCCCCTTGCCTCACGCAGGGCACGGCGGACACACTCTGGGTCGAACGTGGCTGAGCCACGTGCATGCGGTGACGATACAACGACCTCATGGGAGCCAAACATTGTCCATTAGGAAGCCAAACGGGACTCGGGTAATGCTTAAGACAGTGGAGCCTCGGGACCCGAGGAACAGAGCGGCTCTCGCTGTGGGTGCGAGACCCAGTGAAGAGATTAAGTCGTTACATATCTCCGGCCGCGCGGTGCGATTTTGCGAGAAGAAATATGGACCACTGCTCACAGAAGAAGAAGGACGGATCGTGGAGGTGGAAGATTTAGGGAGTCGGCTARTAGTGGACGGCAACTCGTACCCAAAGGAAAAAGATGAGGAATTTGGCGGTGTGGTATCCGTGTCTTTTTTAAGGGCACGGCCCCCTATGGRGGGCTACCCAAGCGACACAAGCGAGTAGCTCAAAAAGTTAACCCAGCGGCGGTGGGCCGCGAGCGATCTGCACTGGAAGGGATATCGGAAGATGAGATCGCGAAAGAAATCACAGAAAGAAAGAAAAAGGAGCCACAACGCCTAACGGAAGAGAGGATAGCAGGGATGGACATCGGAGATGGAAATCTGACCCCACAGGAGCGAGAACGTGAGCCAGCGAGGATTTACACGATTCCACATGTTCCTTGGAATGACGCAGGATGGAAATACGTCCAGAAGGAGAAGGAAGAAGTTATCGCTTTCCTGAAAGAAAAAATGGTTTTCCAAGTTGCGGAGCCGTCTGATAGCGCTTATGCTAATCGATGCTTCTTCCTACGGAAGCCGAATGGCAAGATCCGATGGATCCAGGACTTTCAGAAGGTCAACGAGGTGACGATACGAGACGTGGGCTCCGTGCCACACGCCGATTTACTGGCAGAAGGCGCCGCAGGTAGGTCGATTTATTCGGTCTGTGATCTGTTCTCAGGTTATGATGAGGTACCGCTTGACCCCAGGGACAGGCACCTCACGGCTATGCATACGCCATTGGGACTAATACAAATGATGGTTGTTCCTATGGGTTGGACTAATGGGGTAGCCGTTTTTCAGAGAGCCATGGTAGCCGTCCTCAAGGACTTCATCCCTGATAAGGTTGAAGTTTTTCTGGATGACTTTCCTATAAAAGGGCCAGTACACAGGGATGAGACAGAGGTTGTACCTGGAGTTAGAAAATTCGTCGAGCAGCACCTAACAGATATTTGCGCGGTACTTGAGCAGCTGAACGATGGGAATTTAACAGTAAGCGGAACAAAGAGCCGATGGGCCGTCTCGACTATTAAGATCTCGGGCTTTATCTGTGACTCGAGAGGACGCCGAACAGATCCGGCGAAGTTAGACAAACTTCTGAACTGGCCGTCACCGTTACATAGCCCAACCGAGGTCCGACAGTTTCTAGGAGTGGTCGGTTACTGGCGTATATTCATATGGGGGTATGCGGAGAAGGCTGAGCCATTGAGGTTACTCCTTCGAAAGACTGAAAAATTCTACTGGGATTCTTCGCAGGAACTTGCTATGCAAGAACTTAAAGACGAATTTAAGAAGGGAGGATGCGTGTTGGGCGTGTCGTTCTTTGACGATGAGACCGAAAGACCCTTCATAGTATCCACGGATGCTGGACCATGTTCAGTAGGTGGTTTGCTGTCTCGGAAGGACGCTGGAGGGAAGGAAAGACCATTAAGATTTGAGAGTATGACACTTAATACGGTTGAGCGTAACTACAGTCAATTCAAGAAGGAAGTGTTAGCTGTTCTCCGGTGTCTAGACACGTTCAAACACTATATCTATGGGCGACGGTTCATCT